GGGGGAAGGTGAGGTCGTTACATGGACTAAAGCGGCTGCCAGAGGCGCCTGATAATGCTGACGTCCGATCTCAATCTTAGTAAAACTGTAGACCTTAGCAATTCAGCCTATGCTGCTATTAAACACGAAGGCGCGCTAAAAAAGGAGCCTTAGGTCACACTGGACCATTTGTCAATCAACCGTTGTGTGATGTAGAACTCTTAGAGTAAAGTCAGCTTTAGCTACAGCTACTCCAAAGCAGTGAACAGCGGGCGCATTCCTCAAAATTGTTTTATGTCTTCATCACAATACAAGAATTTTTCAGGTTTGTATTTCCTTTCTCCAATGGAAACTGTCTTTATTTGCGGCGGTAAATTTGGGATCGAAGTAGGTGGTTCGCACGTTACCTCATGCCACCATGCTGGTGCAAGTAAACAATAGATATCTCATTAGCTCCTTTTGTTCGTCTGCCAGCATTTAAATTTGACCCGCACACGGCAACGGTGAGTGACAAATGAGCTTAGGTCTTCCCAGGGAGTACTTCCTTATATAGCGCGCCTTCGTGTTTAAGGTATCGAATCATTCACTTTCACTTTCACTTTCAGGTTTGGATTGGGTAGCATACTCTTCCCAAACCTTCCCTGGTTTTTTTTCCCTAACTGCTTGACCTTGACCTTGACCTGACGCTTAGAATAAGCTAAGTTTATTTGTTTTGTTTAACTCACATGCATTTCATACTCAGATTGCTGTTTATAGCCATTGCGCACATTTACATACAACTGACGGGTTGCTCGCGTATAAACAGGTATTCTTGCCAGATTCGTGTAACAACAATAACTCTCCCTTGTTCTGGCCATTTCTAATACGTCAGTTTTCTTAACAAAATAAAGTTACTGAAGGGAACGGAAACAACGTTTCTAAACGTGTTATTCTCCAGCTAACATGTTTCATTACAAGGTACATTTATGCAATCCTTCGCCAGGTTTTGGTCCTCGAAAACGTAGGCCTAATGTTCCCAAAAAGTCACGCACTCCAAAAATTAAATTGAAACCTCATCTCCGCTTTATGAATGCATCACTCTTTAGAAATTTACGCAGCGGACTAAACCGACTGTAAAGGTGATTACACACAAATTCATCCATCGGGAATGTTTAACAGCCACTAATGTCCTTCTTTTTCTTGCGATGCCACCGAGTCTCCTGCGGATCGAACCCTCTCTGATCATGTCCCATCAAGGCCCATTCTGGTGTCTTGGCCATGTAGTCCAGAGCAGTAAAGTTTTCTCTTCCGTTGCTCTCTTCATAACGTTGCATCTACACAAACAATGCAACAAAAAATAAATTGAAGCTACACTTTAGTCGAAGATGCTTGAGCGTATCCAGGAGTTTTCGCAGAAGAGATGCACCGCTAAGGAATAGCGTAACAGACGGTTGACGTAAACCAGTTTTTAAAGCAAATAACAAAGAAGGCTTAAACAACCACATGAAGCGAACTGCTGCTTTTTCGAATTCAACAAAATCGTAAGGGCCACTTCGAACACAATACGATTTTTCAAACGACAGTTTCATATGAAGGGCTTATGCCATTCCCGTAACATTCACTCTAAGAAAAGGAATACGTAAATTGAAACAACAATGTAGTAAAAAGTAAAAAGTATTGGTAAAGAATATTTCAGCACTTACCAGACGGTGGAAAGTGGTGTAATCGATCCATGTGCACCATCCATCTTCTTTCTTAAACTAAAGAGTATATAAAAAATGGAAAAAAAAATTCAAACTGAAAATAGCAAAGGGGCAATCCACAGGCCACACCATCAGCAAATTTTCCTTTTGCCAGGTACAAAATAACACCTATACAGCAATAAAAGTACGTCAATAACCCCAGTGCCTAGGCTCCTTTTTTGTTTCTCTCGCGTGTGTGCTAGCGACGCCACATCTGTCCTATTCAGTACAAACTAAAAAACAGAACTTAATTTGGCGATATGCTTTGCCAGTCTGTGAAGAAAAGTCAGAAGTTACACCTTCAACTTTTACCTTCTTGTGGCAGATAAGAAGGCAGTTGGAATGTTCGTGTTCACACGCGATTTCATAGTCAGGTAGTAAATCTGTAAGCTTCTGAACGAACCCAATGACCTGAGGAAAAAATGATACGACATAAGGACAATTTAAAAAATTCCTTAGTCGATTAGAGATGGACATATAAATTCTCCTAAACTAAATCAATGCAAACTAAAAGTACTAAAAGGAAAAAAGAACAGACAGCTACAAGGATGCCAATTCCCTGACGAGAATTTAAACTGTCGTGACTAGAGCCAGCCCTGTAAAATGTGTCAGAATCAGTAAGCGGAGTAAAATGTTTGCCAACGGTACCTCTTCGTGCCATGGCACATTCTGCATTGTTAGGGTGGATGCTTTAGATTCTCCACAATAGGTTACACCCTGAGGCAGAAAAGAGAAACACAGGATAAACATAACATTCAATGTGCAACACCCAAGGCCAAGTTCTTCCAATACTCCTGAGTGAACTACAAAGGAACAGAGCCTAGATGTTGTCATGGCAGTTGACCCTTGATCAGCTAGTGCTAGCGGAGTACTCATCCCGGCCCACTGCAGAATCGAAGTGCTTCGTTGATCATTCCTTGACACAAGTTGGCAAGTGATGAGTCGATTTTCTCAACCAGCACAATTTGAACTACAGCTGTACACTAAACTGGTGATAAGACAGATCTTAGTCAGTTTCGGAGCGGGTGACCCCTTGGTAAGGGAGTGTATTTTTTTCCCCGGGATGGGATGCAATATCTATCAGTCCCAGCATTAAGTCACGTTTTCGTGACACTCCTACGTGGAGAGAGAGGCGTGGGGAGAGGAAACTGTTTGGCATAATCACCAGGCCAAGGCTCAACCCCAGATCTCACGATCCAGATTCTCACACATCATCTAAAAAGAGAACGCGCGACAGTTCAATAGCAAACTTTTAGGGACACCATGATGTAGCGGTAACTAAGCGATACAGAGCATTGGGAGGCATTGTTTACATCTGTTTCCCAAGTAAATTCTGCAGCGTACGATGTTATTTCGTAAGGAAACAAAGTTAACGTAATAGTACCTTAACTTCAATGAAGTCTGGTTTGCCGATGGATACCAAGTCGGCATAGTTTTTGAGTTCTTCGTTATTCCAGGATTTTACAAGTGTGAGACGGTAGACAGTTCTCTGACCCTAAAATTACAAACAAAATGAGAAATAGCAACTTTCACATGGACTCATACAGACTCCTTCCAGTTACAAGTAAAAAGGGCTCGATATTTCCGGAGCTTAAGAAACCGACGGCTGACAAAACCGAAGTGGCTCCGATACCATCATCCAATCAGAGGACCGTATGAGTAATCGCGAGAACTTTACGGGTTATCCGATGAGTTTGACGCCACAGAGACACGTAAAACAAAACACAAATTGCTATATCAGCAATCCCAAAGAGGTGCGATTCCAACTCCTTGGGTGAGCTGGTTTTCATGTAGGAGACAACCAGATTAGCGCCACTAAAAACGGAGCAGTAACGGAGGTGAAAGCCTCTTCAAACCTTTTCTGACAGAGCCTTGAGACTGTCCAAAAACCGAGGCCAGAAATCTCTAAACAGTGGTCGGTCGATTTTCTTGAGGCTCTCTTTAGTGCTGGCATCCACACTCACATACAACTGAGTCACTGGAATGAGGTTCCTGAGGAGAAAAAGAATCTCTTTTACATTGCTGTTGTCGACAACTCTGCTCAGTCCTACCTCGTCCATGGGCGTAACAAAACATCGAACTTCCCACATACAGAAGAACGACAAAACCTGGCTCCACACAGGAATAAGAGATTCGACTTTGGTGAGTGATAAATGGTTAATCTGCAGTTAGCAGCATTGAAAATGGGAAGGTAGACAATGCGTAGTGAAATATCTAGACGTGTCGTCTGAACAAATCGTTTTGGTTTTACACATGCATTTGTGCGTTGACGAAGCCTCTGATACAGTTACCCTTTCGAGTAAGACTACCTCTGTTAAAGACATGTGGAAATCATAGAGTTATTTGTATTTTGGCTCGCCCTACGGGCTCGTCAAAATACGGCACAACTCGTAAAAATACTCAGCGATACTACACAACAAAACGTCTAATAAGATATATGCAAGGGTATCATATGAAAAGTTAAATGATATTAAAGGATTACTTTAAGTGCTTAGGACCCACCTTATAGCGTCAGGAAACTGTGCGTTCGTAACAAGAAAAGATGAAATATCATGTCCGTGCAGAATCCTGACGAGTTCATTTATTCTTGGATACATGATAGGTTCACCTAGGACATAAAAAAAGAAGCGCACACTTACAAGGTGTTACTAAGCTTGAGAAAGAATTGCCAGAAATTTAGAGTTACTAAAAATTACGTACCAACAAGAGAAAGAGCACAATGCCTTATTTTCATTCCTTCTTCGAATCTCTCAGGTTTCACACCAGGAACACCTGAAAACACATTGAAATGAAATTGCGAATCAGAAACAGGCTCAAAAGGTCCTGGCCTTTCAATGATCAACCAACCTCCGACGAAGGGCTAACGCTCGAAACGTCAGCTTCTATAATCGTAACGGTGGCCATTTCAACTTTGTTGATATATTCAAATTATAACCTCTGAACTGTTTGATCATGTTGCGGTGATTCTCCATGGCGCCATTCACAATCGTGTCAGGATCGTCCATCTTCCATTTCCATTCTGTTCCAACAGGATTCGTGTGATGCCTGAAGAGGTAGAAAAAAGAAAAGAAAGACGATATGACGTCACATGCAGGCAGCCAGGTTACCAAGCATTTATCAAAATGGCGCCGTCCGTGGTCGAATTTTTAGCACATTTGAAAACAATTTCGGAATATCAGGTCATCCGTTGGGTTTTAGAGACAGGGTAAAAAGTGTCAAACTTTCTAATGGTGCGGACAGAAATTGTATCATTTCTGAAACATACCTCTTCTTGAAATATGTTCGAACATGCATTTCAAATGAACCCAAAAAATTCAAACCTGGTAGCCCTTAATGACTTAAGCAGATCTCTCAAAGAATTTCGAAGATTTTAAACTTAACTGAGATGAAAACTTCAGGCATCGTTACTGACGATTGCTGAAGCCGCCCAAAATAAAATACAAAAGGGAAAATCAGATTTTTTATTAAGTGTCGTAAATCCAAAACCAAATTTATCACAACAGCCAATCAGAAGAAAGGAAAAAATCTCAAGGAGCCTATGAGAACTTAACGTAAGCGCGGGAAAACTGCGCCGCGTGTGACCAAGTCGCGATCGGTTTTACTTTTGCATCTGATTGGTTAAAAGCGTAATGAGAGTTTTCTGAATCAATCCGAACGCGTGGGAAAGCAAAATAGAAGCACTCATTCTAAAATCACTTTGGCTGAGAAGTAACAATTGCAGACTAAATCCTCACAACTAGCATGGACTTTTGAAGTCAACAGTACTGACCTCCAACAGAACACGCACTTGTTAGCACAAGCTAAGCTGGGTGTTGTTTCCATACAACGATGACTCTCTATACCATAAAAGGTATGTTTGTAACAACCTCCACGACCTCTTAACATTGACTTCGAACAAAACAGAAGTATCGCTGAGTTAAACCTCGCACTCATGTATGTACCACGTGATAGTGTTATGCAAACCAGGTTGTAATAAAACGGGTCAAGAGAGTTGCAGCGTTAAACCTGAGTGTGCAATAAAGAGCGCACGTTGACAGTTGAGTCTACTGGGAGACCTTCTCTTTAAATTCTTCTGCTTCCATGAGATGATTACTTCATTGAACCAGGTGGTTTCGCAACGATAAATTAAACGTTATACCGGATAAAATGTGTCTAAGACTTAATAGTTTACAACCCCGACGTGTCGGCCTAAAGTGCGGCCTCCAAAAGGGGGAAACCTGGATAAGAATGGCATATCACTTGACTTGACTGATACATTAAGAGGTACAAAACTGAAAAGGAAGTCATGCGACTTGACCGAAACGTGCATTATAACAACAGACACAATACACTGCGAACGAAAAGTATCTAGCACGTTTGAAGATCAGAAAAATATCAATTCTAGATACCTTTGTCCATCTGCAAAGTTTGACTCCAGAGTGAGAACCAATCAGACGGTAACCTAGCAGATGACGAGAAACGAGGAAACAAATTTAGGTAAGAGTTACTGAGATTTGATTGCCTGGTTTCAAAAAGCGCTGGAGAGTTATAAAAATAATTGGCAAGGGCTAGGGACCTTTTAATGAGTACCTTGTTTTGTCAGGGCTTTCTCCAGTGCAGGGGTTATCATCTCTTTTGGCTCTGTCTTCACCTTTTTCTTGCTACCTTCAGCAAAAGAAAATAGAAGCAATTCAGGCTCCTAAATCTAAGTGGTGAAAGGTCAGCACACCCTTCTCTCTTCTAAAGCTCTGGATTTTGGGATTGCCTCCAAACGACCCTCCCTATTAGTGCCAGACTCCAGCAAACCTCTCCCCGACTCGTCTCAAATCTTCCCACGGGCCGATAAACGCTAGTTCTGGGATCGTGTCATGTTCAGTCGAGCCATTAAAAAGATTCAAACAAAGTACAGCCGAAATGTTTCCAACACGTTACATTAAAACTAGGCAAAATTCACGTCCCTCTTAAAAATGAATCTTTAACAAACCAATCACGAACTCCTAATTTGGACGACAAATACCGCGTGATTTCAAGGACTCTATTTAAATGTTAAGTTTACAATCGTAAACACAGTCAACATACCTACAACTTTCTTGGAGCCTTTCAAGCTTGAGGCTTCTTTTTCTTCCTGAGTCATGTACCATTAATAAAACAAAATGATTACAGAAACTGTGACTGCAACTGGACCAAATGAAAAAGAAATCTAATTTTTTACTCACAAAACATCATCTACAACACTTATTTGCATGTCATGATTTGGTCTTGATTGTTTCCATGTAACTGATGTCTCGATTGGGTATTAGTAACACTAGCATCAGATATCCTCGGGCATTGTCTGCATGTTGTATTATGAAGGAGTTGTGTAGTCTTTGCAAAGTTTTTTGTGTTTTCAGAGCATTTATATCATTCAGGAGTACAAAGAAGACAATTGTTTGATGGTATCAAGCACTTGAATGATAATAAATTCTACAAATCATACTGAAACTGAGCCTGTGCAAAGTCTTGTGTTTCATAGCAGTTCAGCGATATTCTTAAAGACAAAACTTTCAATTTGTGGTTGCAAGCACTTGAAGCTAGGTTCCAACTTAGTTTGAATAAAGTGTTATGTTTATCAACAGGTTCTTACCTTATCTTTTTTCATTTTATTCATCATTGGACCCAGATCTTCCATATCTAACAGGCCAGAATTGTTCTCTTCTTCATCTTCGGCAGCAGACTCCTCACTTGTGCTTTCATAGAGAACCTTGAAAAAGGAGACAAGAAAACATGACTTGTGACACTTGGGGCTAGGCAACCAAATATATTACAAAGATATTTCCAAAAAACGAAACTGTCTGATCTGTAGGGTGTGTAATTAAATGTAGCAATTTGACCAAGTTTTCAGGTGGTTTTCACCCACTTGATCACATCAACAGTACTGAACACTAGATCAATTTTTTTTCTCCATAGTCCCAAGTACAACCCCTTGACCCATTTGAAAACACCCCACTTGTTTGCCCCATGTTAATTGGGGTCTCGGTCCTTTACACCCTAACATCAGTATGCATATTCTCCATACTGTTCCCTATACATTTTCTAAGGTATTGACAAGGAGAATTTGTATAACAATCATGAGCTTTTTTAGTTGGTGATCATTTCCTTTATTCTCATGACCTTAATGTGTGATTCAGGGGGTGATATTGTAAGGAGAAATTAGATGCTGGTCACTCGTAGGGGCCAAATGGTTAAATAAATGTTACAGTTGATTCACTTTTAATTCGTGGGCCACGTACATTGAAAACTTTTGGGTCCCCAGTTATTGTGCAAATAACACTAATTCCTTTTTTACTTTTTACCCCAAGAGTGACTGGCATCTAATTTCTCCTTGCAATATCACCCTTGAATCGAACATTTAGGTCATGGGTTTAAAGGAAATGATCACCAACTAAAAAAGCTCTTGCTTGTTAAACAAATTATCCTTGTCAGTACCTTGGGAAATGTATAGAGAACAGTATGGAGAATATGTATGTTAATGCTAAGCTGATAATAGTTAAATTTATGATTCTTCTTTTAACATGTTACCTCGTCATCTTCACCCTCATTTTCTTGAGGACCTTCATCTCCCTGATAACAGGTTTCATCAGATTGGGAGTTTGATCCACTGGAACACTGACATACATTTCTTGTTGATTTTCCACTTGTGCCCTTTATGAAGGACAAGAAATCTGTTCTCCAGAACTTGAAATCCTCCTCTGTGCCTGAAAGTAAAAGAAAAATTAAAACTTAAATGTATGCAATGACCCTTTTGAGAAATTTTCTGTTATCTGGCACCTAGGTACCATATCATGAAATTGTATCAGTAAAGCACATTTACCTTTAGTTAGATACATTGTACCTGAGCAAAAGAGGTAAATGAGTTCAGCTTGCAAGGAAACATTAGACAATTTTCCCTTTGCTCTTCTGATTGCTTCTAAATAACTGTCACTAGCAATTTTCCAGTTCTTTTGAGAACTACCCTCTTTAATAAGACAACACACTTTACCCCTGTGTTTAAAAAATGACCTAAAAACTATTATTAGTAACTTTAACTATGTTAGCCATTACTATTCATTTGTTATTGCAACTACTCCATACCTCCATGTTTGCTGTTGGCGACATTTTCATCTCCCATTCCAAATGGAAAGACACGTTTTGCACAAAGCAACTCTAGCCATTTATCAACTCTTTTCCCAACCTGACACATTACATTTAAAGAATCTGAATACAAGCATGTCACAATACAAGTCACATATCTGTTTATTCTAGTCAAATGACAGGCATCTAGGAAACATCAAAATAATGACATTTAGGAAACATCAAATGTAACATTTGAAAGTGAATACCAGTTTATTTCAAAAGTATTAAACCTTTTCACTCCCAAAAGTGACCAAGACACGATTTCTCCTTACAATATCAATGCAATGTCAAGCAGACAAGGGATGAGACTAATTAAAACAAATTATTAATTATGGCAAACAATAAGGAGAATTACCGATGAGATCTTGGGAATGGGAGGGTTAATGATCTAATAAACTTATTACTACTCATTTCAAAAATGGTCAAACAAACTTAAAACCTTAAAATTTTTTTGGAATCATTTCCAGGATTTTCCGAGGTTAAAATATCTTTAAAACTGACATTTCGACCAGTTTTACTGGTCTTCCTCGGGTTGTTTAAAATGTTGTCAATATGGCCAACTGTTTAGTCTTTCAGCTCCTGAAAGACTAAACAATGTGCCATATTGAAAACATTTTAAGAAACCCGAGGAAGACCAGTAAAACTGGTCGAAACGTCGGTTTTAAATATATTTTAACCGCGGAAAATCCCGGAAACAATTCAAAAAAAAATTTTTTAGTTTTTACAAAGATGAGAGGTGAAAGTTTCAGGAATACAACCTTAAAACCATTTATCACATATTTTTCTCCTAGGATTTGCTGATTAAAGAATCTTAATTTATTAAGTATTACTAACTTATAACTCTCATTTACCAAGTTGAAATTCTCTTCATAAAGTGAATTACCAAGGCCAAACACAGCATAGTTTAGCCCTTGCAGGAGGGATTTCTGTACACGAAAATCATTTGCAGCCTCCTCTAGCCATTTGTAAAACCATTGCACACTTTCAGGAGGCTTTCCATCCACATAGGTGCTAACAATAAATATACAAGTTCCTGTCTGTGAAATATAAAATTGTATATCAGATTCAGCTGGAACTTTCAGGAATACTTATCAGTGGTGGTTCATAAGGGAAGGTCGCAGAGGGTCTTTACCCTTCTCCTGTTGTCTGACAACAGAAGTCTTGCAAAGTTTAACGATCTAGAATTTTCCTGTCTTGAAATATTTCTTAGCTTATCAAGGTCCTAGAGTTATAGACAATTCTGAGTATTGTGCATCAAAGTTCACAACCCTCCCCCCTCTCTCTCCTACATGATAAATATCTCCCCTACTTTTTAGACTATTGTAAGTAGATCCAAACATTGTATGGGACTGCACGCAACCTTTAGACCATCCTTCCTTTGGCTCACAAAATTGATATTTTTCATTTTCTGGTAAGAAACCAACCAACCACTTCCCTGATTTTCAAATTGGTTTAGATACAGGACACAAGAAAATTTAAGCTTTCAAAAACCAAGCATCTCTTTCATCAAACTTTCCTTTATCAAATCAAAATTAATCACAGGATAAAGCAAAAACTTGGAAATTTTTTTAATTTACTATTTATTTAGAGAAAGTTATTTTAAGGCTACACAAAAAACATAGTAATCATAAAAAAGTAAAGAAATTTGGAAATACCTCTTCAGAAAGGTTGTCTTCTGGTTCATAGTTCTTTAAATCTACAAGTTCAGTTCTCAACCCACTTTCTTGTGCTTCAGATTGTAGCAACTCTGCAAGACTCTGGAATTTCAAAAATGTCCGAGATACATGAATTATTTCAAAATCATGAACTTCATAATAAAATAAATTCTAATGCTAACTTGCAAGATAAAAAACATTATCTGATACCCATTTCCCATCGCAACTTTCTGCATACATCACAATAATAACGATTAAGTCAAGTATTGTTCCTGCTTAATATGTACCTGAGCCTTTCCAGTTTGTGTTCCAAAGAATATTTTCAAATCCTTTGATATAATGGTTTCTCTTTCATCAGTTGGAGATTTCAAAACACCTTTTTTGTTTTCCTGCCAGAAAAAGGTCCCTTGTTTGTTTAGCCATATACGCTTTAGCATATATACATCTTATTAACCAAGCGCAAGGGCCGTACTAGGAGAATATTGGCCTGAGGTCTTGACAGTACGGACTGAGCGCAGTGAGGTCCGTACAAAAAAGACCGAGGGCTGATATTCTTCCAGTAAGGTCCAGAGCAAGCTTGGTTAATAAGAGATTTATTATATGACTGAAGTTCAAATGGACACAAGTGCAGTATCCTTCGGGACCATTCGGGACAGTGGCGGTCCAATACTTAGAGAATATTGACCAGCAATAGAGCATTTTGATTGGTTGATTTTAGTTAATGGCCTTCTGACTGCCTGAGTTGTGTAACAAAATAAAATATTTATTTAAAGTGCACCTACACCCAAAAAATTTTTTTCGCTTAACGAAGTAAGCTTATTTTTTTGAGTATTTCTGCGCAAAAATTTTTTTATTTGCTCAAATCTTCAATTTTCTATGCCCAGTCAAAATACGGAAAATCGGCCGCCATCTTGCCCCACGACCGAGTTTAAAGAGGAATGGCTCTAGTGGGTAATGTGACGTCAAATCGAGAACACGAAAGTCTGCTNACTGAAGTTCAAACAGACACAAGTGCGGTATCATTCGGGACCATTCGGGACAGTGGCGGTCCAATACTTAGAGAATATTGACCGGCAATAGAGCATTTTGATTGCTTGATTTTAGTTATTGGCCCTCTGACTGCCTGAGTTGTGTAATAAAATAAAATATTTATTCAACAATATACCCAGAGTCATAGAACAATTCCCAGTCACGATTTAAGTCTTTACACCCTAACATCAGTTTGCATATTCTCTTTCATGTTCTCTGTACATTTCCTCAGGTGCTGAAAAGGAGAATTTTGTTTAACAATTGTGAGTTTATTTTGTTGATGATCATTTCCTTTATTCTCATAACCTAAATGTTTGATTCAGGGGTGATACTGTAAGGAGAAATTAGGTGCTAATCACTCTTAGTGGTCAAAGAGTTAAACCCAGAGCTCGACACTAACTTTTCAACTTACTAGCTAAGTGGCTACTGACTTCTTCAATGTTATGACAATTTCAGTTTGTTTACTAGCCAAACTAGTTTGGCTCCTGGAAATCAAAAACCACAAGCCAAAACTGAATTTCTACTAGTCTGTGGCTAGTTGGCTACCGTTAGCATTGAGCTCTGTAAACTTCTTTTTGATTTCACTAGTTAATATGCAACTCTTCCCAGAAAGGAAAGAGAAAGGATAAAAGAAAATTCAAGGAGGGAAGAAGAAAGGAAACTTAATATCAAATTTAGCCAACCTTCTCCTGCTTAGCTTTCCAACGTAAATATTCTGCCCTGTGTTTTTCTTTTCCTGTGATCTTGATTATCAACCAGGACAAACCCAGTCCACCAAGGATCAGAGTTGCTATGGGTCCTCTGACTGACATCCACCAAGTAACAAGTCGATCTTGCCAATCTGGCTTCCTCAAAACACTTGGATCAATTGGAGAATGTGCTGCTGAAAAGTAGTTCAGACCTTATCAAAATACAGCACTAGTCCTCCTAAACTCCCAAGATCTAATTGTTAATTCTCCATTCTAGCTGCTACACATTTCCTACAAAATTAGTAATAAGAGATTGGTGTTAGCTCAGGATAACAACTTCTTCCTAATAAGTTTGAATACACTCATCACTTGTTTGCTGGATGATGTATGTGGGGAGCAGTTCAATGTTAATCACTTCTTGGTGTAAAGAGTTCAGTTAATTAACTAATCTCTTGAAAAAGGAGAAATTTCGAATGGATTACTCCCCTTTTCCTACAAAATAATCTCCCTCTTTTGCCTTATGTTTGTCTTACAAGTTGTAGAAGCGTCTGTGCTTTCGCTGAGGTCTTTCCAAGCTGGGAATTATTATATTCGATTCTGGCCGGAAATAAGTTCTCTTTTGAGAGCGCTACATTTTAAAGCTATGGCGACTAGTTAATTTTCATAGTACTTACCACTCACTTGAACAGACATCGATACCAGCAACAAGGTGAATGCTCTACAAAAACAACAGATCAACGAACATGCTTCCTGGATAGCCATGCTTTATGCGTAGTCTACAGCTATTCTTATACAACGTAGGTTCGTAAGTCCTGTCCAAACTAAGAGCTCGGTTACCAAGTAGACAAGGTGAAGAACGCCTGTCGGAAATTGACAAGTCGCTCGATCTGTTACGTACAATGAATAGGAAGTAGGTAGAATGGTGCGCTTTAAAAAGAGGTCAGTTTACCGCGCAAGAACGTCAGGCTCAGTTATGGATTCTTGCTTGCTTTAAGCTAAAAATTTATTTTTCTTTACGGCATTTAAGGTATTTGTTGGTGGACATTTCATGTAAAGACGGAAAGGTTGATGAGAGAATCGATGGAAGAATATTGTTTGACACTGTGAAGAAAGCCGTGACATCAGCTCATGGAGATTATGGAATGGCTTGTGTTGCTCGCTCATTGAAAGGTGAGAGACGTTTTACTCATTTACGGGGCATTTTCCTGAGACCCTTTCTCGATAAAACAAGAGGTTTAGTTTGTCAAGCCCATGCATATGTAGGTTATCTTTTATAAAAGTTTGCATATTTCTTGTAAAATATTAAACATTTGGACGTTAGGAATCAGAGAACCATTGTAAACCTCGTGAAGTACCCTCTTCACCCCCACCCCACAAAAATGCAAACCTAGTTAACACTGCAGCACTTGCAATCATTCTGATTTGCTTTTTGTTTTATTTCAGTGAAGTATTTAAACTCTGTCACTGGGGTGGCATTTATTGCATGTGCTAGAGACTATTATAGGATGGTTTGGTCAGCAGTCACCTTCATAAGAACCATAACAATAAAAAATGATGTTCATCCATGTGTGTTCCGAGTTCTTCATGTAGGAGGTAACATGATGTTATTTCATCAACCTCTTTCTCCCTAGGAGTGACAAGTGTCTAATTTCTCCTTACAGCATCACTCCTGTATCACACATTAAGGTTACAAGAATAATGCAAATAATCACCAACCAAAGAAGCTCCTGAATGTTAAACAAATTCTCCTTTTCAGCATCTTAGGAAATGTATGAAGAACAGTATGGAGAATATGCATATCCAGCATAAACTGAACAAATGATCTTGTGGTGGAAGAACTGAAAATTGACAATTTTGGATTAAATTTTAGATATTAGAAAAGAACTCAAAACAGCTTAGAAGTAGCCTTGACTGACTGGATTACCAAAACTAGCAAAACTCTAGAAAATACAAGTGGAATCATAAAATTGAATCTATACAATTTGACTTATTTTCAAAGCAGCTTTGAGATTTTGTGGCTCATTGTTCACAACATTAACCCTATACATCCTAACATCACTACACAAATTCTCCACACTAGTGCCTTTTCATTTCTCATGGTACAGACAAGGAGAATTTGGCTAGAAATCGAGAGCCTCTTTAGATGGCGATCACTTTCTTCATTTTCATGACCTTTTTGTTAGATTTCGTGGTGAGACTGTAACAAGAAATTTGATGCCAATATAGATTCAGAGAGTGAAACTGGCAATCAAAATAATATCCACCCTCTTCTGGCTTTGCACTTCTTTTAGTGAACTAGTATTGACTTAAGGGCTGATAGTTTCAAAAGAAACTGTTTGGGGCTGCATCGGTGGGAGTAACGAAATAATTTGGATATATCAACAAAGTTGAAGTGGTAAATTGGCCGCCATAACAATTACAAAAGCTGATGTTTTGAGTGTTAGCCCTTCGTCGGAGCAAATAGAGGAATTGTGGGTTGTGTGTGCTTTTAAAGGCAGAGAATGGAGCTACGTTATTGGTGGGAACATGGCAAGGAGAAAAACAAGAATAAATTAGTGGAATGAAAAGCGTTCCTGGATGCCTGTGGGGGATCATTGACTTAGGAGAGTCATTGGTCCCCTGGACCCGCTTGTGTGGTATTTTTGACAGCTTAAGAAATCACAGAGGCTTGTAGACTGGTATGCACCTTGGCATTGCTCACCCTTGTTTTAACTTAATTGGAATAAAGGTTTAAGGTGTTGGACTGTGCTTCATAAAAATATTTAGACCCAAACTCATGGAATTCATAATAATTCAATTGAATATCTTCCATTCTAGGTACAATTCTCTCCTGTCAAAAGTTCTTAATACGTCATAATAAAGACCAGCTCCTCCAGTTGTTACAGAATTGCAAAACACCAGGTTAGTCCTTGTATTCAACTGTGACTTCAATGATACTATTTAAGGTTAGAAAACATTCCCTTCCTCTTTTGTTTGCCCACCAAAGTTAAAGGTATGGGAGCATCATAAACATCATTAGCTCTCAATTTATCAATTATTGAGAAAGAATCTCACTGAAAATTCCCTGTATTAACACTCTCCTCAAAACAGTTGCCAGAGAACAGATTCACTTCTCAGGCTACCAAATTGCACTTAAAATTTTTATAATATAATGCAAAAATTAATTCAAATTGGCTTCAACTTGGGTAACAATTATTAGTAGTTGTCCTTTCCCAACTAAATGCTGTCAAACTGCAACCAACCAGGTTTTACATTCACACAGTAACCCCTGGTTTAACCTACAAGTCATTTCACGTACAACCCAGTTCACTAGTGTCTTATGTCATTCTGCCAACGTCTTAGGGCAATTCACCAAGGTCTCATATCTTTTTTCACTTGTCTAATGTTTTACAAAACATTTTGTAATTCTATCTGCAGAACTTGATTGATTTTGGTCCATTTTCAGCCAATCTTATGTGTACATGTATGTTTATGGTACATTTCATTTGTTGCTACTTCAAAGAAAACAAGACATAAGAAATAACCCAACACATTAGGGAAACAACCAATAAAACATTAGCAGAGTGACACGAGACATTTGCCAAATGACTTAATAGATTAGCAAACTGGTTGTAGAGACAGCTCGTAGGCTAAATGACTCCAAATATAATCTTCACAACAGGTGTCTTTTTCTTTTTATTAGTACAGAGAGGAAAGAACTTAGAGAAAAAATTGACAATTCAACAGACACAAATAACTGGTGTTGAAGTTTTTAGCCATACTTAAAGAAGTAACAATTACATTTAAAATTTATTTTAGTTGAAAGGAAAAAGGTATTGAAGATCATAAAGAAAGCAGAAAAAGAAGAGGTTTCACTGGGATCTGTGTTAAAAGGGAACAGAAAAACAACAGAAAATAGAAGGAAGAATTATGCCATTGCACATGACGATGAACATTTTGACTCAGATTGATGACGAGTTGTTTGAAACATTCTTCTTCCCAATGGAAAGAAATTTGAAATAAACAAGAGAGCTCAACTCGAGCTAATTATGAGGAGACAGTTTTGCAAAGTTAAATGTTTGGTGTACAAAAGTGAGAAAACATTCAAACGGAAAATTTTAGAATTGAGTAAATGTAGCTGAGTAAAGACCCAGGGTTGAAGCTAACAAAATGGCTTGTCGGTTGAGGAAGCCATTCAGCCTGCTGTGTCCAGTCAATTGCAACATCTTGTCTTCTGACAATCCGAAACAGAGAGAGACACTATAGAACAGTTTTAAAACCAGTGAATTCAAAGCAATACTTCATTTTACCTTTAATAATTCTGTGGCTTAGATGTACTAGTTTTCCAATTATTTTCCCATTTTTGTTTTCAAACCACAAGGTATATTTTTTTCACTTGAGCTGTAAAAAAAAATCAAGACTCATCTGTCAAGTGATTGCCAGCCAAAATTTAGCCTGTGATTGCCTCTTTCTCACCCAACGAATTTTGCCAGCTGCCAGTGCTTAACAACAACCCTGTATGTCTTTGAGTAAAGACCAACACTATTTTGGACCCAAGCCATCTTCAGCCCTTTAACTCCCAGAAGTGATTGACTAGTAACTTCTCCAAATGATATCCATAAATTATCCAACAAAAAGGTAATGAGAATACTCAAACTAATCAGGAAGAAGTTGTTACCTTGATCAAACACCAAATTCTTGCAACTAATTTACAGGGAAATGTGTAGCAGTTAGAGGGGAGAATTAACAATCAGATCTTGGGAGTTACAGGGTTAGATTGCCTGTTCTATTTACATGAGTCTTATCCTTAGTTAGTGTTAACAGTGCTTTACTTTATTTTAATCTTGTTGAAGCATAAAGTTGTCATATTCTGTTCTCAGTGTTATTCTAGTCTTTCATCTCCTTCTTCAATGTCCTTTAAACTGATCATTTCCAGTGTTCCTCGTCCCCTAGTTTCAGCCCTGAGGGTTTCGTCAATGATCCTGTAACAACCAGGATCTATGAGACAAACCTAAGATAAACAACAAAAATTGAATTGGAGAACATGTGAAATCATAGGTTTGCTTCCTTTGCAATTGTTTTTTTACTTAAATTGATGGAGCTTTTTGTCATGAAACCCAGTTTATGAAAAAGGTCTGGGCGAGACAAAAAAACTATACCAGCAAGATTAATTTTATGCCCCTTACTTAATTTCCTTCCTTGGGTTACCTTTCTGCCTGTTACAAATCAAAAGCGCTCTAGCTAAAACTTATTTTTCCTATCAATTGATTGGCTCATTAAATGAAAATGATAACAAGAAAATTTCTACAGGATCTTGAAGAATTAAATTGGTTCAAACCAGATCCTTTAAATTCACCCAAGCCAAAAGCATAGAGAATAATGCATAGGTGCATGTAAATATGTAATTTCTTTTTGAGTGTTCAACTTGATACCTCACAAGTTTGCTGCATACACTCATAGGATATTGAGTTGAAGAGAAAGTCAACATCTACAAGCAACCATGTTTTAATTTGTTTATTATATTAAACACCATAGTAAGTAATAGTAATAGTAATCAAAGTTTAATGTCTTTACGTGGGGCATGGTTACCCACATTGCCCGAGCCAGAGGCTCATGTATGAAACGCAAGACAACCTACCCATCCCACCCCAGGGGAGAACATCCATCACACAGTGATCTCGTGCGTAGGAAATTAACATCTCCTACCCCTAACCCCGCAGGAGACGGGACCTCCATTAATTCGTCCCTATCCAGGAAGACTAGAATATCTAAACCATTTCTTGATGTTATAGAAAGGGAGTATATTCTTCTCAATTATTTTAAGACCTTGAGTGTTGGCCCAGCCCGGGGCTCGAACCATCGACCTCCCGCACATCAGTCCAGCGCTCTATCCAATGAGCTAACCGGGAGGCGGTTAGCTTAATGCGTCTTCACTGAAATAGGCCTTTACTGACATAAAAGGTCCACTTTATCATATGAGAGTGATACAAAAGGTGAGCACCTGACTAGCAATGTCAGACACATGTAAAAAATTCTAATTTTAGCTTTTCACTGTGTGCACTTACTGCTTTTCTCAGGGCTGGAAATCCTTGTAAAAGACTGCAGTTTATTCATTAAGAATTTCATTCCTTTTTCTCAGTTTCTAACACTTTGGTCGTTTATGTAGTGATGACTCTGATTTCCACCACAAATCAGAGTCAATGCACCAGTTTTTCGATAAAAGTGGTTACCCTGATTCTGTCGTTCAAGCGGGTTACCATTGCGCCCAACTTATTGATTGACATTTAGCACTACAAACGTCACAAAAGGAAGATTCCAACCGCATTCCATTCACTCTCACGTTTCACCCTCACAACCACTCAGTTAAATCCATCATTCTTAAAAACTTTAAATTAATTCAAAACAATCCAGAGACAAGCACTATCTTTTCGCAGCCTCCACGCATTTCATTCAAACACGACAAAAACATAGGCAATTTTTTGGTCAGAAGTTCTTTGCAGACTAATGACAAACCAGGCACTTTTAAATGCACTTGTGCACGATGCAAAACATGTCCTTTCACTCACAACCCTGATAAAAATATCGGGACCCAAACGATCCATTAAGATCACCGATCACTTCACGTGCACCTCCGCCAATGTAATCTATTGCATAACTTGCACTTATTGCAAAAAGATTTACATTCAATTTGGCGAAACAGGCAGAAGACTAGGTGACCAATTCCGAGAACACCTTCGAGATATGGAGAGGAATGACAAGGACACATCAAAACCAGTCACTAGACATTTTAATTTACCTTTACCATTCTAAGCAACACATGGCAATCTGCAGTCTTTCCTTACACTTAGGTAGCACGGAAAGCCGGAAAACTCTTGAACAAAAGTTCATCTTTCAAACCGGCAGTCTAAATCCCACAGGTATCAACGAATGCTTTTCATTCCACTAATTTATTCGTGTTTTTCTCGTTGCCATGTTCCCACCAATTACTTAGCTCCTTTTTCTGCCTTTAAAAGCACACACAACCCACAATTCCCCTATTCGCTCCGACGAAGGGCTAACGCTCGAAATGTCAGCTTTTATAATCGTAACGGTGGCCAATTTATCAATCTTAACTTTGTTGATATATTCAAATTATTTCGTTACCCCCACCTACACAGCCCCAAACAGTTTCTTTAGAAACTATCAGCCTTTATGTAGTTTATTCACCCTGGGTGCCGATTTTATTTATTTATTTTGGCGGTGAAACCGCTAACAGTGAGCCAACAATTGCAGCTTTGCCTCTCACTGTTGGCAGCAGTTTCGCTGCTAAAAAAAAAAACAACAACAAAAACAAAAACAAACCCTCTGGGACCCAGGGTACAGTTTATTTAATGAAAGAGTTTATTCTTTTACCACTTAACACCACTGATTTGTGAACATTTACTTTTCATTTGATTCATCCAACTCCTTAGTCTTTCTTACCATTTCTAAGTCCCCGCCTTGCCAATCCTCAGATTCCACAGTTGATATGTGCGGCTTAAGTTTTTCTTGAACTTTCTTAGCCTCACGATTTGGTATGATCAACCTTAGGCGCATCTGAGCTCGTTCAATCTCCATGCTCTCCTTAAGTTGTTTGATGACTTCAAGAGCCTAGAGATAGACAATGTAATTATAAGTCATAATTCCAAAGCAGATCAGGCGTGGGTTTCCGGATAGACAATTGAGAGGAAGCTGGCAAAGGGTTAACATGTTACAGTAATGTGTGATTTAGGCCATAATTGTCATATGTGACACTTGAACTTTACAGAAAGACCAGTCCGATTGATGAATTTATGAACCAACGTGAGGCTTGACTTGTCCCCTGAAATATATGCGACCCCTTTCATTTCTTGAAAACTTCAACATCTCCCTGAAACCTGGTACACAAGAAGAGAGATTTGAAGTTTTCCCTTTTACATACATGACACATGAATTTCAATGTCTAAAATTCACCCAAGAGAAACAGAATCAGGACCCCCCCTCCCCTCCCCTCACAACTACTTGCTACCCTCTGAAAATTTAGGAAAGATGTACAGAACATGGTTACACCACAAGGCAAAGAAAACCCCTCCCCCACTCTATTCGAATATTGCCTTTATAATGAACACACCAAAAATTTCCCATACCTGTTGTTTTGTGGTTCTAGTTGGAATAACTGAATAATGAATATCTTTCATAGCTCTTTCTATCAAGCCAACAGGATAAGGTCGTTTTGTCTCTGGGTTCACACATTTGTCAGCCACAACAGTTGCAATGTCTCTGAACATTGATTCCAGCTGTGTGTTTCTTTCCTTTTCAGACACCTGCAACTCCCCTTTTGCTAAAATCTATAACAGATGCAAAATTTGAATTTTTTAGCATGCTATTATTTGACATCACCAAATAAATCAATTTTTTTATCACACGTTACGTTGTAAGGAACTTTAATTGGAGACAAATATTTCTCACCTGCAGACAAATTTCTGTTTGATCTGTGGTGCCAAATGCTCTCGACAAATCGTCATTTTTAGCGACCTGTCCCTTAGAAACATTCATAAATACTGTGTGTGTCTGAAGGACTTCATCAATGTCCTTTTCTCTGTGCAAAGAGAAGGAAAAAAATAATACTTTTTCGTATACATCCAATAAAAGGAGTTAATTTATTACGTTGAAGTAAATGTGGAACTACGCAGTTTGTATGGAAAATGGGATGTACAGTGCTTTAAGAAATTGAAAGCCAGTTTTTATTGAAGGCAAAAAAGGTATGGCGCCTTCCCATTCCCTCAAGGTGTTTGCATTTGTTACAGAAAAGAAAATTCATGTACATTGTATGTCACTGAGATGACACCATCATAATCTTCCATCCAGAAAGAATAGTGTTTTGAGTATATGAGCAAAAAATTTGCTTCGGTTCGTCTTTCCTCACACGCAGGGTTGTTTTTAACCATGCCGTTTTTTCACGAGAAATTTATTTTTAAAATCTGAGTTGATGCTATCTATTTTTTGGTCTTTCTCAATCATGTACTGTTTCTGTTGTCACTCTGATTAAAGATATCTAAAATGATCCTAACTGGCCACTAAATTAAACTTAAATTCAAGCATAATCTCTAATATAAATTGCAATGTCAGCACTGAGTGTAATTCTTTTCAATGTCAAGCCATTTACTTACACTTTGTTTCGCCATGACATAACTTTGTTCTTGTAGCAGGCGATCTCAAAACGTTTTCCAGATTTCTTCAGCCTTACTACCGCTACATTTGTCAATTTTACTTGATTGGTTGGCGTAAAAATCGACATTTTGCATCAACTATCCACAGTTTCATCCAAGACGAAACCTTCCAGTGACTAAAGTAGCTTCCACTGGGAGAGGGGTAGAGAAACAGATCTTGTCGCGATAGTCCACTTTATACTTTCCAAAACATAATTATTTTGCTAGCTTGACAGGAGAAAAGGAGGGCTTTTACTTCGGATAAACATTGAAAATCATAATTTCACAAGAAAAATTAGGAGTTTGTTTATTGTTTTGTGATCTAACAGGACCCTACTTAGTTACTTAGTTATGTTGGTTTACTGCCTTGTAACCACGCTTCAATCTTTTCCCCAGCGCTCCACAGTCCAGAACAGTGTTAACATGATAATAATCGATGTAAAGCGTAGAGCTTGCCTACTGTATGAATCGCTGTATGAATAGCTTTTCAGAATAAGCTTATAATTATTGGTTTTCGTTCAATAATTGAGGTTTTCCGGCGAAGGAAGTGCGCGGGTATTTTGTTCCCTCTCGCCCCACGTGTAGAGCCGTCAAGATCGGGAAAAACCGGAAAGAAGTTTTCATTGGATTGCTGTCACGTTATTTACTGAACCAACTAGCGAGCTGAAGTTGTTGTTTCTTCGATATTTATAACTGGAGATGTTTTGAAACGGAACTGATCCTGATCGATAAAAATGGAATTGACAGGAAATGCCAACCCCCGAGCATTTTCTCCCTGTGAGTTAGCTGACTGACGAATCACGTTGCCAACCGCGGGAAGTCGTAAATCGTGGAAGGAGGACGAGACACGTTTGCTTCAACTTACGCGCGTTTTTCTGTGGATTTTTTTTGCATCCTATAACAATGATGAATGGAAATTTGGGTCATTCTTCGGAGCTCCACATTTTGGAGCACAAGCTTCGTGTTTCCAACATAAAGAAAGATGCAATTTCTTTATACACTCACGCGCTAATAAAAATTTCATTGCTACCCCGATCACGGTAAGTTCAAATTTTAAAGCGGTCCATGCGGAGAACTTAACTCTTGAATTACTGGATCCATGAAAACTTAACAATATTTTCCATTCTTTACATGATCATCGTAGTTTTATTCACGGAGTGGTCATAGTTTTGCTGAATCGCTCTTCATTGCACAATCTTGTGAATCTCCTTAGCGCCTCATGTCCTGGCCGGTGTATATGTAATTTGATCTAAGATGACTGCCATGTGTTTTGGGAGAAATATTTTGCGTGGTTTCGCAAGCGTTCACAAAAGGTTACTGGTTTGATTTTAATTTTCAAAACGAACTCACTTGTTTTATTTTATTCTCTTTCACGCTTTCTACAGACCTAAGTTTTTCAGTTTTACGGAGACCAGAGACGGTTACACTATAATTGTGGAGGAAGAACTTTGTAAAGGTAGGTACCATAGTATACTGTTTGTAAACAATGCGATCACAAGAAAAACAATAGTATCGTGTATTCCTCGGATGGCGCACTATGTTAAAGCTGAAAGGAAAGTCAGTTTTCCTGGATTATAGAATGCGTTTTCGAATGCACATGTGAAATGAAAAAAAAAAACTGATATTGATAACCGCATGCGTACACAGCAAGTAGGAACTGAAATAATTAAAGACTGATATCATGACAGCGCAGATTCCAACAGAGTGGAAACCAAAGATGAAGTTTCCTATTTTATATATTTTTTAGATCGGATACCGGACGGGAATTTAAAAACCTCACCACATACAAATTCTATCAATAAAGTTATAAATCCTGGCCGTGTGTGATCATTCATTTGCAAATTCCAAAGTCGTTCAATTAGAATTAGATTGTCTTTGCCTTTGTTTTGCTTCAGCATAATTTGTTTTACAGAAACCCCAAAAGGGTAAATTGGAACTCTTTTGAGAAATATTTTTCTTCAGTTAATGTTTTGGAAGTGACTTTTTCCTGTTATGTAGATATAATCATAAATTTGTTTTGCTACAAAAATGTTATTTTTTTTTAACGTCTTGCGATAACTCTCTCAAAACATTTGCATTTTCGTAAGTGGATACTCTTGGTTTTTCTTGATCAATTGTTCCTGGTAAGCAATCAGGTTATAATTAATTTATCATCGAATTTTTGCTTTCTATTCCTGTTTACATGTAAGTCAACCAAATTTGATTCATTCCGCTGTTTAGAAATTCATTCTGAGTATCAAAATTACAAAAAAGAAAAAGCAATGTGCCTAAAATTGTATTTTATTCCTAACATCATGAAGCGACATAATACAACTAAAAAAAACAAGGGAATTAGTCGTGGTTATCAAAAATGCATAATAGATTAGTCATGAAATCTAAGCTGAATTAAAGAAAAAAAGATGAGGCCATTCAAATTTAACCCCAGAATTTTGCATAATATCCAAAGAACTAGCAAGTCTGTTACTGTTGTTGGATGAAAGGACAATGTTTGCTGTATCAAGGTCTTCCTTTCCTGGTGATTAGTTATACCAAAATTATTTTAAATGTGCCAAATGAATAAATGATACTTTAATTTACTGTTCTGACTAAAAACATATGGAGCACAGGAGGTTTGAACAAATTTAAAAAAAATTGAAGTGAAAACAACAATTTCATAGCAAAATTTTAGTGACTTTATCTGGTGGTTTACCTCACGACCAAGAGATTGAGCTCTTTGAATCTTGGTGCCATCAATATTAAAAATACATTACTCTAAAATGATTTTGCTATTTGCTATCTTTCTTATCAGCATAGCAATTATTTAAACTTAGAAATTTGAGCTCCTTCACTTTATTGCTATGTTGGATGGTGGTTTAACTATTTCTAAGATAATGCATTTTGGAGCAAAGAAAACTTTTTCCAGAAGAAAGTGACCTTACGCTTCTTCTTTGACAAACTTCATTCATTGACAGAAAATACCCTTGATTAAATATGTAGACATTCTATACTTCAATCAGAAACATATTCTAATTAGTTGAAAATCATCACCAGGAATTATTTTTTACTTTGATTAAAAAATTGAATGGCAAGTGCAAACATTTTTTTACTGGCGAATTTCAGGTGTATGCAGCAAAATTAAAATCAAGTTAAAAACATAACATGCTTTGAAACTACATGGTGATTTTCCACTAGCCAATTCAACCCAACAGAATACATAATTACATTCAGTGTAAAATCTGTGAAGACATTTAACTTTTTTTTACTATATACAAATTGATTTGCAAAACCATTAGGAAACAGCAGCTCACCTGACAAGGCATAATTGCAAAAAAATTCTGCTGCCAAGTCAGGGGTAATAAATAGGTGTTTAAATTATTGATGTAAAACAGTGCACTGGTACATGTAAATCCACTTTTAACTAAGCCCCAAAGAATGATATAAGGCTGAAATAAGCTTCTGGCTTGAATCACAGAATAGTAGAATGCAGACTTTGATCTCACATATTTCAGCAAAAATCACTTTTCAGCCACCAATCTGGCTGTAAGCTGTGTGAAAATAAAAAGACAACAGTCCTTTACAAAATTGGGAGGTTCCTTTTTCATCCAATAAATTTGTTGTCTTGAACTTTTAAGTGTATGATAGCCTTATATTGCCTAGCTGATTGAATCAGTGCTCACTTCTCCCTCCCCTCCCCTCCACCAGTACAAAGTTGTGTTTTGTCCATCTGTCATTATGGTTGGAGCACAAAATTGTAAGGGGGGGGGGAGGGGGTCCAAATAGAAAGAGTACTTTAAGTTATTAAAATAGAATCAAGGAACACTATTTCACTCTAGGTTCCAAATTCTTTAGCCACCAATTGGAAAATATGCAACAGGTTGATACTTGTTTGTATTAGATTTTAAATCAAAGCTATGCTGTCTTATAGTATGATAAACAAATGAAACAATAAAAAGTCTAATTAAATGCTGATAAGTCTATAGCAAGCCTCATAATGCTTAAATGTTTTTGTTGTTGTTTACAGAGCTTCCACAAAGTGAGAGCATTGACATGCCTGACCTTATTTGGCGAGTCTTGACAGTGTCTGCTGGAGCCTATGGAAGCCATCAGCTTACCGGCATCAGTAGAATTGTTAAAACAGTCATCTCTCCCTTAGCGGATTTTAAAATCTCAGTTCTGGTCATTTCCACTTATCAGTCAGACTATGTCCTGGTAGGTCTTTCAGTTGTATTTGTTTACCTCAGCCGGTCAACTATGGTTTTACTCTTTGCAAGCATATAATCAAAATAATGTATTTATTCTTATTTAGGAGGGGAGCTGTTCTTCAATTTTATAATAAAGGTCATGAATTGTAAATGATTTATGTTAACCTGATTGAAGGATTTATAACACTGCTTGCAGTCAGTAGTTTGCAAGGGGGAGAGGAAACTAAAGGGTGAAAATCCTACCCTGCTCCCTGCTTTGTCACTTGTCCAGATCTTCCACTCATCCAATACTGCAACCAATTATTTGTCGGGCAGAATCTCGCACTTGAAAACACAAACTACTGCCTGCAAGCAGACCAAAGGATTTTCTGATTTATTAAAACAACTTTGATCCACATATATTAATAAAGAGCTTGCAGTCATCTATTGCTTTTTAACCATGATTTTTCCCACTCTCAAACAATGAGTTGTTGGCCAAACAGATTTTTGTAATTTAGCTTTGTAATGAAGTGGAACTCCTTTTTCTCTGTCAGGTGAGAGAGAAAGATCTTGAAACTGCCATTATGTGTCTTTCTGAAAACTATAAAATATTTAAAGACAGCGGATCAGGACTGGAACGCGTGACGCTTTCTATTGCCGATAGAATGGTTGGAATGAACCAAATGAGTAAAAGAAAAGCAGGTAAATTTCCAATGCTTTTTTTAGAAGTCTTATTTCTCGTTTTGATAATATACCTAGTATATGGTGACGTGTAAGCTGTGTTTTCATTTTTTTTCTTTTTCTTGTTTTTGTTTTGAAGATGAACACAGACCAATTATTCACCCATTCACATGTCCAATGAACAGATTTCATGTGACCAGTCTAGATTTCCAAATGCTGCCAAGCCTCACTACCACCATACTTGAACTGATGTTCTATTCCGAGTAATTGGAGTTTTCTATCCTTGTATTGCTATTTGAATATGTTATAATAATAATAATGTTAACTAAGTGTGTTAGCTAGCCCTCTAGGTGTAGACTTTATATTGAATCTCTTTCCTTTCACAAGGCATTTTGCACTCAACAAGTTTCTCGTTTGAGAGTTTCTTCACCAAGAGTTGATACATACCTCTTGCTTCCCACGTTTATGGTCTGTACTGTAAGAGTTTTTCTGTTTGGGAAGCACATGTGCCATTAATCTGAGCAGAAAAAAAGATAAGGCCCTGTAACTTACAGTATGGACCAAGAAAATGAGGTCAGTTAGATGTTTATTATATCTCTGAATTCAACAGGGTTGTAAGATCTCTATTTAAACAAACTTTTTTTAACAAATGGTGAATGCCATAGCATGTACTATTGAGTTATGGATGCACGCAGGAGGTTGCTAAGCACTAAAGAAGCTTAAGAGTCGAACGAGGCGATAGCCGAGTGCGACTCTAGCTTCTTGAGCGCTTAGCAAACCTCCCAAGTGCATCCATAACTCAATAGTACATGCTAATATGGCGTTCACTATTTGTTTTATAACATAACATTGATACATTGGAACAAGAGTTCCCTTTTGTTTAACAAATCTTACATGATCAGAAAAAAGAAGCGCACGCGGAAAAATAGTCTTAGCATTTGCTCGCGTCAGCAGCATGCACCCATGGGCAAATAGTAGATGCTGAATTAACCAATCAGAGCGCGTGCTTTGCTTTAGTTATGTTATGAAATTTAGTGGGCCTTACAGTGAAATGTGGCCTGCTAAATTGACAGGTCAAAACACACATACTTGTATCTTACGAGACCTTTTGGTGTATAGTGTTGCTGTGTATTTTTACAGGTATGTGGTGTATATTGACAAGCCTATAGGGCAAGTCAAAATACAAACAATGAGTTAAAGTACTCAGCAATACTATACCCCAAAATGTCTAAAACAATAAGTTATTCATTTTATACGAGGTAAGAAAAGGGAAGACGATAGAGAAGCATAGCACATGCAGCCGACCTGTTGAACAAGTTTTTTAAAGTACAAAATAACGTTGGAAATGTTCGATATTGCATGATATTTGTACTCTGCTTGAGATATTTCATGATAACTATACTTACTAGCACTATGAGTCAGTAAATATATATCACTTATTTTATTCCAGAACACCAGTTGATGGACGATATGAACCTTTCTTCCACATCTCAATAGTTGAAGGAGACATTTCCCTAGTTTTAGACAGTGAGGCTTTGTCAAGGTAAAAGTCAAAGGAATAATTTGAATATATCAACAAAGTTGAAATGGTAAATTGGCCACCGTTACGATTATAAAAGCTGATGTTTCGAGCGTTAGCCCTTCGTTGGAGCGAATGTCAAAGGGTTGTGTTTGTTTTGTCTGCTAGTGTACACTTACAGTTTGAGATTTTGTGCATTGAAAAGTTATTTTCAGTGTGATGTGAATTTAATTTTTCAAAAGTGCTACCAATATTATTCAGGGTATTTTACTGAAAGAAGAGTTGAAAGAACTATCATGATGGTAACAGGGCCACTTAACTGGGGTTATTTGTCGAACATAAAATTATATTGTGCTGAGTGAGGCATACTGTGTTGTTCAATGGCAGAAATACACTGGATTGTAAAAACAACTGGATGGTTTAATCTGCCATCAAGAAAGCACACTACAAAAACACTAGCATGAAATTGAGGCATGGTACCACAGGGTACCCAACACTACAACACCATAATTATTTGACATTGTAATCATGTTCTTGTTATGGTCAACTGGCTCTGTTTCCAGTGATAAAGTATCATTTTACTTCTCTTTCTGGGCTTCCATGTTTGACAGTTGGTGAGTAAGCGATCTAGAGGTCTGTTATCTTTGGAATCGAAGAAGGTTGCCCATGCCAACACTAAAAAAAAAACCATGTGGTATCACCTAATAATGATAAAATTGGTACCTTAGTTTGTAGCTTTTCTGCAGTGATAGAAGCTTTTCAAGATGGTAACATAAAAATTTTGTGATCAATTTGCTTTAATTTGTTAGAAATTTGTTTATCTATGTGCATTTGTTCAAAATCTAAAGATTTCCTGAAGGTTCACTCTACACCAACACCAATGACGAGGGGTGGAAAATGATTCGTGTTGGAGATGACCCCCTAGGATTTGGTCAGTTTTGTCTTTTTATTTTGTATTGTAAATATTAATAAGAAGTGAGCGAGTGAAAATTTGATGAAGAAGGTGTTAACATAAGAGTGGTACACACAAATAGACACAGAACAGGCTGATACGGTTGTGCATGTGGCTAAACCAGACATCAGACATTGTGTAAGAGACAAGAAAATTGCTGAGCTAGGTGACTGCCTAACTGACAACAGATAGGTGCATATACTGATGCACTGATTCACCGACTCTTTCACTGACTGTCTGATGGACTGATTGACACAGACTGACTTACTCACTCACTGACTGTCTAACTTAACACTGGTTATGTGTGATGTTTATTAGAAAGGTGATAGCATTTCATACAAATCAGTCATGACAGAGATCAAGCCTGCACACTTGAAAGAGTGCTCATAATGTTTATATTATCATAATTTTCAGTATTACTAGTATTATATTAGTTTCAGTATTGTGATCTGTAATGGCTTCCTTTATAACTGTGTAACAATACACTGCACTGTTGTGTGTTGTGTAGATGAAAGTGGTGTTGCTGCCCAGATCGCAGAACCTTTAGCAGATGTTCAAATGCCCACTTATTACATCAGTACTTATGGTCTTGGTCATACATTGGTATGTACGGACCTCTGGGTCATAGAGGTGTTGTGGTAATCTTGAACAACATACTTAAAGCTTTCCTTGGCAACAACAGTTACACCAGGAAACGTTAAAATGTAGAATCAATCTTTTTGAAACAGGGCTAAAAATGTCAAAGATAAACCTGAAAGAAAAACAGTGGAGTGTACTGAGGCAATTTGTATTTGCACAAGAGACTTATCTCTTAGAGGATTTTCAATATGTTTTCAATCTCCAGCACTTTGGAATATTATCAAACGATAAATTTGGTGCCCAGTATTAGTGGCCTATCTTTGTTTTTGGATAACAAAGTTGCCTGTTGTTCAGTTGCCATCAAAATCTTCAAGTTACTTTGGGCAAGTTTCCCACAGCTACTTCACATTCATCCTTGGATTAATTTGAAGCCGTTTGTGTGTTACTTTTAGAGGAGAGTGGTATAGTTGCTCAGTTATCTGAACCACTAACTGACGCTTCATGTAGCACTTTTTACATCTGCTCTTTCCTTTACGATCATCTTTTGGTATGTACTTTTAATTGCTCATTAATCTTTCCTTTAATTACTAAAGTATTTATTTGATGAATTATTATTCTTATCTGCATCATGGCTAATAGTATAGAATCCACTAATATCAAAAAAAGTTTGATTTTCATCACCATCACCACTGTTAATATTATTTGTTCAGGGAGTGTTTGCAAGTTGGACTTGCATGTTGATTATTTTTCTGTCCTCTCTGGTCACTGGAAAAAATTTTATCGAGTAGTAAAAAAGGTTATTGGGAATTATAACCCACCCACTAATTTTGGCGTGATTTTATTGGTTACTTTACGTCACGTGGTGCAAAATCGCAGGACAGTTATCATGCAATAACCCCCGTTCACGTCAATATTTGTCCTTCGATTTTTTCTGTGAAAAAGAAACGTAGTCAACACAAAAGTTTCAACTTTTCCATTCTCCTATATACATAGAAGGAAACCAAACTTTTTTTTTTTGCTTGCTTGCATCAATCACGCACATTCGCCATCAGATCACCACTGGCTTTTTTACTGTGTTTATGCAGTTTAATTGCGATGTGAAAATTAACGGGAGGGTTATAAAATAAATAAACCCCGTTCTGGCTTGCTGGTATGTTGGCTGATAATGTCTTGGCTGAGAGGTTGTCCTCAAATTTTCATATTTGCCCTCGAAGCTTCGCTTCTCAGCCAAATATTCATTTTTCGGACTCAGCCGCGGACATTATCAGCCAACAATTACCAGCCGCCCAAAGGGGTTTATTTACCAAATAGCTTTTAACCCTTCCATTTTGGGAATCTCCCCTTTTTCAGTGATTGTACACAGTCTCTCATTTAAGTTTAATGTTTCCCTGTGTTTTGCAACTTTCCTCTGGCAAAGGAAGATAATGTTCCCTGTGTCACTAGTCTCTTTGGAACAATCCTCCTGTGATTTTCTCTGGCATCTTAGTATGAGCCTTTGTTTTTTGTTTTGTTTTGTTTTTTTTTTCATGGAGCATTGCCTTGATCTTTTGCAAGGGTTGTGCTTGTCTGTGGTGCTGTATGATTTTTGAAGTTTTAAAGTTTCCAAAAGGAGATGCCGTTGGAACCTCATCCCCCATCTCCTTGGCAAAGTCTCCTGCACTTGGTGCTCATGGTGGCAGCTTTGCTACTCCCAAAACATCCCCTCTTTGTTTTAAAGTGTTGGAATTTCTGCTTATTGTTACTAGTTTCCACAGGACTTAAAGTTGGCTTTTTTTTTTAAATCATTTGAAATTCAGGTTTGCAAGAAAACTTTACCAGGTTATTGGTCATGAGAAATTTAATACTTAACAAATGGTAAACACCACTNCCCATGGGCAAATGGTGGACGCTAAATTGACCAATCAGAAAGCGCGCTTTACTTTGGTTATGTTATAAAAGGAAATGATTGCCAATGTAAGCATTTTTTTGTTAATCCAATTTTCCCCTTGTCAGTACCAAAGGAAATGTTTAGAGAAGAGTGAGAAAAATAGGGTGTTAAAAGGAGAATGCTTTGAAAGATACAGCAGTTCAATTTGTTTCACAAATGAATAAAAAGGGTAAGTTTCTAGAGAAAATGTGGTGCTGCGTCGGTGGGGGTAACTGGGTAATTTGGTTTTTCAAAGCTGACATTTCGATTGTTAGCCCTTCGTCAGCTTTGATACCCTTTGCTATGGCTAATTTACATTATTAACTCATTTCATGAAGCCAATTCATTTCTTACTTAGTGTACATTGTGTATGATATTTGAACTTTTATTTTTAGATCTTTCATCAAATGTTTTTACCAGCATTAAAAACATTTTGAATGTGTTAGTAGGGATTATGAAGTTAGAATGCTGTCATTTTCTCAAATTGTTTGTCAGAGTTCTTTGGTATAGCCACAGGTATACTTGCATTACAAGTGCTTTATGGGCTCCTTCAATGAGTGTTACATCTGTTTGAATCCCTTATCATTCATTGATAAATTTTCCAAATTCAAATGGATATTAGTAATTATTATTTATATTATATTACATATTTGTATTTTTAAAATTAATTGTACATAATTTATTCTAATCAATTCTTAGGCAAAAATGGCATTTTTCTTTTGGGCCTTTTGTCGATTCAACTGAAAAATAAATATTTTAATTCGAGTTGTAGGATTCTGATTGTTTCATGCCTTTGTTCTTTGTTATTCACATACACACCAGCCATGTCTGCAGTTGGTTCACAAGACTAAATGGCAAAGCTGTGTAAGCTTGTTTAAGATTGTGAACCATAAATTGTTTTTCCCCTCTTTCCTATTGAGAAGTAAAGCAGGCTTTTCCCCAAGGTTTCAAACAGTACTTAATAGGCAATCTGCCATTTACATTTACATCCACTGATGTGGGCCTGCTCAGGGAATTAAGAGAGGGAGACTTTAGCAAAGTTTCAGTATTTTGACTGAAGCAAAACAGGCTAATAATAGTCTAGTAGAGATCAGATTTAACCACCACAATCCCCAACAAGGTATGCTAAGCTAACCTTGCCAGCCTGAAAGTAGTCTAGAATGTCAAACTATTTTGCTCAATATTTTATTTTAAAAAATCTACAGCACTTTTGAGTTTACATATCACTCCAATAATAAAACAACTTACAAGGTTCCATTGATTTTCACAGGCTGAATATTAAACAGTGACATGGCTTCCTTAAACTTGGATCAAACCATTAACCCTGCCACTAACCAACTAGTAAATGTTTCTTTTTCCTGTTTGAATCTGTTTTCACGTGTTCCTGGTTTGAGACTTAAAGAGAGCTGTAGCAGATCTTGTAGGGCAATGAGGTAGGGGTGGGAAGACTCCCTTAATTTTGGTACCAAAAAAATGTGGCTGGCTTAGCATAAAATTGGCTTGCCAAAATATTCAGTCTCCTGATCTTTTACTGCACTGTCTTCAGAATATAAAGCTTAACCAAATAACAAGTTGCACAAAAATTGTCCCATATCAACTCTGCAAACTGTTAAGATTACAAAGTCCTTGACATCTGCCAATGAACCAAGCCAAAGGCATGTCTTAAAAACTGAGTGGGAGCTAGTGCTTGGCTTGGTGTTTATATGAGTGCACCCACATTTCTAAATTCTCTGCCAACTCAGTCCAAGCAATATTGACAAAACTTGCCCACGTTTCTCGGTATACATTTTGCATCCCTCAAGATGGTTCCCCCTCAGCTGTAGAACCTGTTTGTACCGATGATTTTGGTAGACTGATCCTCATTCTTTTCCGGGAATAATACTGCCAATGGAGAATTTGCTGTTCATCAATGAACTTCGCACAGGCGGGGTTTACCAGTTCTCTACGAAAATGTTCATACTGGAGCAGCTCAAGGAAATGTAGACACTGGGGATATCTGTTAGTAAAATGAAAATAATCATGAGATTGAAATAAAATTTTGAGCTACTTAAGTCATCAAGTAAAGAAATACCTTGTTTATTTTGACAAGTGTGTGTGACAAAGAAAAATTCTGAGCCCGAGAGATTCTCATATTTTTCTCCTTCCTTGCTCATGCTAAGTAAACAAAAGACAACTTTGCCACTCAAACATACAATTCATATCTTCTCGCCACCATGTAGTATCCACAATCTACACTACTTATTGCCACAATTTTGACATGTACTTACTTCAAGAATTTTGCATATTCTGGCTTCTTCCAATAAAGAAGATATTTGAGATAGTTAATGAAGGACTGCTCCTTAAAGTACCCTCTTTGAGCAAGAACTGGAAAAGATAGGGGAAATGACTGATATTTGTTACAGATATTCATGACAGTATGAACACCTGTTTACCCTTTACTACCTAACATCAGTATGCATATTCTCCATACTGTTCTTCACACATTTCCTGATGTGATTTCAAAGATAATTTGTTTAACAATCAAGAGCTTCTTTCGTTGTTCTTCAAATACTTGTCTTTTAAATTCTAAGTGAACAATAGAGTTGATTATAGAGAAATTCCTTTTTCAAAATATATCATCTGAGCTAATTTTTGGGCGAATTTGGCCAAAAGTATTTCAGGTTCGACACCAAAGAAGCGAGCGTCAAAAAAAAAAGAAAACTTACAATTCAAATAATGAGGATTTGCCAGACATTGGACAAACTCCAGCTCAACTTGAAACCTTAGGTGTGTCCGATCATCTGTTTCTTTACCATAAAAATGAAAAAAAAAGTGTTAATTATAACAAAAAGTGAAAAATTCGAGTAAACAACTAAAGTTAAGTTAATATTAGTTACACCTTGTGATTTGGTTTCGGAGGTGTTCATCATAGCGGCCATGTTAAGTTTCTTACAGGACACTTACCTAAATTCTACTTGACATACAAAGTAGAGGTCTTTCTGCCGCTGGTTCTAACGCTTGTCGTTTCCCTTCATTGTGCAGCTAAAATATTATGGACTGCTGATTTCTGTTCGGTCAACATGGCGGACGACTTCGACAACAGCGGTAGTGGTAGAGGTGGTGGATTTTACGACAGTTTCGGCGATGGACCAAGGTAATGAAGCCATGTTATTGCTTTCACTTTCGATTCTTCCCCTCTGGTCCTAAAATACGCTCAATCTGTCTCTATCAGGGATTATGGTTCGTCTTATGGAGGCGGAAGACGGCGTGGTGGCGGAGATCGTTATAGAGATCGCGCACCGAAACCTCTTCCAACGGAACCCCCTTTTACGGTCTTCGTCGGTGGACTTCCGCCGGATACAGTCCAGGGAGATCTTGATATGATATTCCAAGACATCAAGGTATGTTTTCAGTACGATCAAAGGCAGTTCAAATGCCGACAGTTTACGATTTCGCACATGGCCTTTGGTTTAAGCTACATTGCAGTGTACATCGACTACTCGGAGAGCTTTATGGTATTCTATTTCTTTACGTCGCCTCCAGTGCAAAATATCTCAGGAATCGATGTGCATGGGGCCCTGGGATTTGAGGCTGAAAACTCATTGGTGAACTAGCTTTAGCGAGAAATTCGATCAACCATAAATTTCTTAACCTCATTCTATTTCCGAGGACTTACAAGTGGTTGCGTGCTTTTCTCCTATGGGGATTCCCAGTATTTTGTTTATGCACCAGGCCCAACATCATACACCTGAAAGTGTAGTTATTTGACAAAATATTTGCTTTTAACGAAGCATACACGCAATTAATTCGTATGGTCTGAAATGATGGAATGTGTCTCTATGAATGATACAGTTGTTTAGCTTTAATTGAGGATGCGGGAGGGCGGTTTAGAATTAAGTTAGGAAATGGGTAGGAGGCTAATTGGATATAATTCGGGCGGGGGGAATAATGAGCTTACTGCCACTTATTGTTTTCTATTTCATTGTGAAATCATAGGAAGAAAAGCTTGGTGCCCCAGCTGAAAATTAACTGATCTCACATGTTCAATGTTTTCTTTGTCAATGTCTTAAATGTCTTCTTTGATCCCTAATGTGGTTGACAGAATAACCCATGAAATGATTTCTCATCTCTATAAATTTGAACTGACTTGGCAAACTGGAGAGAGTTTGAATTTGAATTATTTATTTAAGTTGTTTCGTGGAAAACCTGTAAACTAGCTTCTAGCTAAGTGTTCCTCCACGTTAAACTGTTTATTATTATTATATTATTATTATTATTATTATTATTATTATTATTATTATTATTATTATTAGTTGACTGTCCAATTGTTTTTGTCATCACTTTTTCGCTGTTCATACTTAAGAACACGAGATAACAGTCTGAACGTTCCTGATTACCACCGAAGGATATTAATTGTAACATCAGACTTCCTTTTTTTAAGCTTTGTATGTTCAATGGCAGTTAAATGCTATTGTCTGTAGCTAATAGTAACATCATCTTTTGTGATTAGGACAACATCAGAAGCATTCGTCTTGTGAGAGATAAAGAAACAGATAAATTCAAAGGTATTGTACCATTTTTGACAAGGTATGAATTATCATCATCATCATTGTCATAATTATTTTATACCATTACAGCCAATATTACCTTTACATTGCCATGACCACAACCATTGTCATTACCATCATTTTCATTGCCACTACCATTAACGTATCATTTTTGTAACCATTATTGTCATTGTTAGAATAACTACTATTACATTGTTATCAGTCTTTTGTTGTGTTGAGTTTGAAGACCTGAATTCACTATCATTGTGTTGTTATCAGGCTTCTGTTATGTTGAGTTTGAAGACCTGTATTCACTGAAGGAAGCTCTGGCATATGATGGGGCAGTAAGTTATCAATTTTTTTCTGTAGGCTATGTTTAAGTCTATGTCTAGAACTAATAAAAGCACTTAACATCAAAAAGCACAACAGCCCATTGGACCTATAAGGGGAAAACATTTCCTAGTTGGAATAATAATGAACATCAAAATGCATGTAATTTAATGACACTACACCAACAACAAACCAAGGTGCAAAAAATAGCAACATGTAAACTTTTGACCTCATTACCTGGCAAAGACTAGCAGTATAGCAGTTGAAACATGGTGATCAATACAATTGATAGCTTGACTCTCTATTATGAGACAAACAATTGAATGTTCATTTATCTGCACCACAATGAACAACAACAATGTCTATAACAACCACAGGTGGCCCAAGCTCTGTCACAGGCTCTTTCACAGTGAATAATTAAAGAGTTTGTATAGTGGTTTAGTTGGACTTGCTTTTGAGCTCCATAAATGTAAAGTTGTGTGAAATAATCAAAGAAATAAAGTCTTACCTTCGTAGAGAGTAGTCTGTGTTGTTCTCCTCACGATTTGAGGCCGTTTTGATGTGTTTTAGCTTGACGCCCAAAATTACTGTGCATAAAATACGGGAAGGTCGGAAACTTCTGTTGACACATGCTCGCCAAAATCGTTTGAAAACAACACTTAAATACTTTCCCTCGAATCAAAATTCAGCAGCACGAAAGCCAAATAGTTGCCCTTTAAGTTCACTGAAAAAAATCCCACAAAAGTCGGTTTGTCAAGCAACCAATCCAGCGAGAATTTCAAATTAACGGCCGTTCAGAATTCTTCTAATGCATGGAAGGAACTTCTTGTGCAGCTGAGAGACCGTTGATGCGCGGTCAACCTGGAACCTAGTCAAATCTCTCTCAACGGTTCCTCCCCATAGTCTTCTAACACCAACTCTTCACACATACTAAGGTACCCCGGGTAAGAGGATATTTGTAAAAATCCATTGAAAACAGTGAAGATGGACAGTATCGACGATCTAGTCAAGTCGATGAGTTTAATTTAGGGCGTCAAGTTAAAATACATCAAAACGGCCTCAAATCACGAGGAGAACAACACAGACTACTCTCTACGAAGGTAAGACTTTATTTCTTTGATTATTTCACACAACTTTACATTTACGGAGCTCAAAAGCAAGTCCAGCTAAACCACTATACAAACTCTTTAATCATTCACTGTGAAAGAGCCTGTGACAGAGCTTGGGCCACCTGTGATAACAACTGGTAAAAAAATGTCTCACTTCTTGGCTCTATTACTTTGTGGAATTTTTCTTCAGCTCGTAAAGACAATCATTGAATACCACACAGTCATTCCTGGGCCATTTGCTTCCTAATTTTGGTGTAATATATTTCTGTTGACTAGAGTATGGGAGAACATGGTAGAACCCTGAGAGTGGATGTTGCTGAGGGACGTCGAGAGGGAGGCCGTGGCGGTGGAAGAGGTGGACAAAGAGGGGGCAGAGGTAAGAGGGTCTTTATCTTAACCCTTAACACCCTAATATCAGTATGCATATTCTCCATACTCTTCTCTATACATTTCTCATGGTGCTGATTAGGAGAATTTGTTCTAGAATCAAAAGCTTCTTTAGTTGGTGATCATTTCCCTTATTCTTGTGACCTTAATGTGTGATTCAGGGGTGATATTGTAAGGAGAAATTAGATACTGGTCACTCTTAGAGGGTAAAGGGTTGATTCTCATTATTACCATAAAAACCCGCAGATAAGCCGCACCTTTTTTCCAAAAATCGTCGCTAGAAACTGGGAGTGTGGCTTATCTGGGGGAACATTTGAAAAAGTTGTCGAGTTTTCCATATTCACGTCCGATCTAATGTCTGGTTACTAAGCTTCAAATGTTTTGCACACGTTCTTGTTGTAATGCAAAAATCTATGGAAAAACTGTGTTGAATGAAGAAATTTCTGTCAACAAATACCAGAAAAAGATCAATCATATGTCAAATTTGGCAGAAACCATGTTCATTATGTTAAAGTGCTAAAATTGTGGGTAAGACTTAGAAGTATCTTCCGTTGCAATGTTAATAGTGAGTTTACGTTCAATGAACAGTGGATGAAGAAGACTTCTTAAGACTCGACTTTGGATTTCTTTTGATTTCTTTCAAAAAACTTTTTTTCCAAAATTTGAGCTGCTAAATTCAGGGTGCGGGTTATCTATGGATGTGGCTTATCTGCAGGTTTTTACAGTATCAATTCATTTATATGCCATACATCTATATCTATTTCTTGTGTTTTTAGGTGGCTATGATGACAGGCGTGGAAGATATGGTGGTGATGGTAGGTAGTTTTACACTGTTTTGGTATCCATGGCGAGAAGGAAAAATTTGGTAGTTATTTGTATTTGTATTTAACAATTTGCCAAAGGCAGGTAAATTTACAATAGGACAAGGTTGTCCCCTATGAGGTAAATTAGTTTTCCCTGTCCCCTACCCCAATTTCAGTGAACAGGCCAGACCACAACACAAGGAGCTATGTTGCCTACTCTTTGCGATAAGTGTGTGGGTTCTTTAACATCCCCTGTGAACCAGGGTAGGGAAGATGCAGGAGACCGGACTTATGGTTTTTTTTTTTTTTTTTTTTTTTTTTATTTCTTGATATGATAGAGAGGTGGCACATTCTCATCAGTTATTTTAAGACCATGAGTGTTGGTGTGGTCTGGGGTTCAAACCCTCAACCTCCCACATGGCAGTCTGGTGCTCTACCACTTGAGCTAACCAGGTGGCTAACCAGGTTGGTTAGATTTGTAGCAAAAGTTGAAAATTTGATTCAAATAAAACTTCTCCTTAGAACATCAGTAAATTGATAACACAAACAGAAAACTGTTGCTATCGATGGGCTTATTGTCTTGATACCATACAGAATTTTTTTGGGCTCAAAATAAAAGACAATGCATAGTTGTAAACTGGAGGAGGAATTATCAGCAATCAGATCTTAGGATTAAAACAATTGGTTTAATTCTTTCACTCCCAAGATCTCATCAGTAATATTCCTTTATTAGTAGATCAACTTAGAGTCCCTCATTGGTATTTTTCTTTATTCCCATCACATGTCTGCTTGATATTGTGTTGAGGTTGTAAAGAGAAATTCTATTTTGGTCACTTGTGGGAGGTAAAAATTTGATCAAGTCAAGGAGGAACAATAGAGAAGTGAATGATTATTCCCATTCTTCCAGAACAAGATTTGAAGTTGAAATGTTTGAAAACATCTCTTGGTCTGTCTTTCTTTGTAGGTGGTGGTGGTGGAAACTGGGGAAACAAGGCAGGTCATCACGGTGGTTGGAGTGGTGGTGGAGGAGGAGGAGGAGGCAGTTGGGGTGGAAGAGACGATAGTGGCTGGGGTGGTCGGGATGGAGGTGGCAGAGATGAGGGAGGCTGGGGAGGTAGGGATGAAGGAGGGAGAAGAGGAGGAAGGCACGGTGGAGGAGGTGGGAGAGGTGGAGGTGGGGGGTTTGGAGACAGAAGAGGTCCTCCAAGACAAGATGATTTTCGTGAACCAACAGCTGGTGAGAATAGATACAAGTTCTTCTTAACTTGAGCAAATCCTTGCACACTAAAATATCTTGACATTGCAGCCTAAAGCCATAATTGCATTTTCAAACTTACTGAAAAGAAGTTAGTTTTATTATTTTTTGTTATGATTATTTGCTCTTAGGCTAGTAGCTAAGCAGATAAGGGAAAGTTGAAGACAAAGGACAAAAGAAAGAACATATTAAGTACTTGAGGTTAATTTGTTTTTATTTATTTACTTTTTTTTTTTTTTGGTTGTCACCAATAGAGGAATTAGCAGCCAGACCGAAATTAAAACTCAAGCCCCGCACAGTGAAAGATCCTGTGAATGACGTAGCCTCAAGTATGCAACAGATGGCAATATTTGGTGGTGCAAAGCCTAGAGATGAAAGCGTTTATGAGAAAGGGAAAGAGAGATCTAACAGCCAGTCCAGTCAAAACAGTGGTTAATAACAAAGTAAGGCATTCTGTGTGCATTCTATAATTTTTTTGGGGTGGGGCTGGTGGTCTGTTTGGATATTGTCCCCTTACCCCTCCCCCACGAACTTTTTTAGCTTTAGATGCAACTAATAGAGTTGTTGATACATTGTCTTCTTTATTTCCTCCCACAGAAATTTAAAATATGAATTGAAGAAGCTGCTATTTTTCGCGTCTGAAGATGTCCAATGCTTCTACTGACAACAGCTTCGTGCGATAACTAAAACACAGTTTTTGTTTCGTGTCAGCAACAACATTCATATCAAGGACGTCTTACCGATAGATTTGCAAGAATTCCTCCATTTCTTGTGCACTCAGAACATACCCACGCAATGATATAATGTATTATTTAGACTTGGTGTGCCTTAATGGCGTTTTAAAGTTTCCGTTGTTTAAAAAGAGATTGTTGTTTCTTCTTCGACTCTCAGTTTAGAGCAATTGTCACTTGAATGTCGAAAGTAATCCGGGTTTGCTTTGGTTTTACGTAACTTTGCTCTGTGATTGGTTCAGAAAAGTCGCACCATCCTCTCAACCAATTAGATGCAAAACAAGAAAAAAACAATCACGACCAGGTCATACGCGATTTCCCGTGGTTCACTTTTTCCGCTCTTTACTTGGTGTTCTCATTGGCTGATGATGACGTAAACCTTTGCTCTGATTGGTCGCTGGGATTACTTTGGTCTTGGTTTTTCGACACTCAATTGAAAACTGCTCTATTGAAAGGTTTTATATTTCACGAGGGAGGAGAGAGAAAGCGTTTTCCAATTTATCAACGCTAACTGACTTTTTATAAACCTGGATTTTTTTAAGTGATATTTCTTTTGCTTTTAATTTAAGGTAATGTCTTGATTAAATGTGCGTTGCTCTGTTGGAAAAATTACATTATTCTGACTTCTGAGGCTTTGTTGCTGATGAAATGAAAAAGAAATTGTCTGCGCGTATAATCCATAATGTCAATTCATTGATTTGTACTGAAAAGAATTGCGATTTTGGATTGAAAATAGCCTTTCAATGGAGGGTCAACAAGACACCTTTCATAGAGTAATCATTTTTTGGTTGTCGTAAATAGTCTCTCACCATTAGTACAGGAAAATTGACTGATTCAAACAACAATGGCGCTTCGTGCTCGTAGCCCCCCCCCCCTCCCCCTCCATTCCCTCATCCTTTTACCAACACAGCGGTTAAAACGTCTACGCATGTGCAAACGTTGTAATGATCATTCGCGACTAGGTGGCATGCTTTCGGGCTGACAGAACCAAGTTATCTCACACGAGTTACCAACAACTACACAAGGCAGTTAAGTCACGATTTTTTAGAACCGTGTAACTTTTTCGGTAAAGCTCAAAACAATGGTAGATCAACTTTTGATTTGATCAGGCTCGAATTTTGCTTTTCCTTACTTTTGTTCCTTTAACAGATTACTATGAACGTTTCAATTTTCTTTCGCATATTTTACGGAACAGCGGTTATTTCTTATGTTTTCCTTGTATTACCGACATTGATGCCCTCGCGCCTGCCCAGTGATTGACCGCTGTGTTTCCCCTGCTACCCCTCAGCTTTTTACGCCAGCCACGTCTGCTAATTCTAATTCTTAGACGGCCTGATGTCACTCACCTCAGGCCCCTTCCCTTTTTATTTATTCCTGTAACGTAATTTCAACATTTTCGGGCGCAAATCCTAGACGCGTTGCTCATAGGTGAATAGCAAAGAATATGTGGAGATTGAGTAATCAATCAGAGCGCTCCTTCGATGAAATCTGTTTTAGTAAATGATAAAAATATGCAGCCCCAAGTTGGAATTGGAAAAAAAAAAGCTTGTCGTTAGTTTCGATATATATATCTATATCCGAATGCAGTCGTTTGTAATTGAGCGAACACTCTTAATCTTTCTTAATTCATGTCCTCTCTACCTTTTTGGGTTGCCTTTTCAGTTAAATTTTTCCACTTTTAGCAGTTCATATGAAAATTCTTCAATTTCCGTCGATTCTCCACTGTTGTCAATGTAATTACAACAGCCAATCAGAAAAAAGCACGAGTATCGTGAGGAGACTATTGTAACTGAAAGCGAACACAGCCAAACTAAACGCGGGTGGCCAAGCCTCGATTGGTGTAGTTTTGCATTCGATTGGTTGAGAGGGTGGCACGAGACTGATCTCGACCAATCACAGAGCAAGGTAAAGCCAAAGCAATTTCGATCGCTTTTGATACTGAATGATAATTGCCCTTACTGATTTCAAGCTTAAGCAGAATACGTAGAAATTCTTCCTCTAGTGCTCAGGCTTCGGGAGGTTTATCATCTCATAGATGGGCTACAAAAATGACAAAAAAATTTCTCCAAAAAAATCCACCGATATTTGATTTCCCTTGTCGTAAGGGAGACCGAAAGCAGTTAAAGCTTGTTCTGCTTTTTGTTAAAAAGATTTTTAACAGTGATATTTCGACTCTGCTTTCTTCAGCACCTGATAACAATATTAAACGACTGTGTCGACACTTAGATTAAGACATGGTCTTAAAAAATTGCTAACAGTTTTATTGTGTTGTTTTTCCATAATTTACACCTGCAAATACACAGATTTGAAGATGGAAAGTCAAATAAATTGAGTTAGGAAATTATCAATCATTTATTTTAATCAATTGTTAATCGATGTTTGTTCTGATTTTCATTTGACTTTAATTATTAAAATCTTATGATTTGACGATGTTGACAAAGGCATGAAAAGTGTTAAAGAAAACTTAATTTTTGTAACGGGATATTTTTTATTCAAACTAGAATTGGACGTTTGTTGCCAAACAGAACCACGCTGTGTACATTACAGAGTCTACAATCGTTTTTCAAGCTCAATGGGAGGAGCCATTTCAAGACAAACAAGATTGACACTTCCTCCTCGCTCGTGATTGGTTGGCATCAGTGAATACTCAGATGTATTTATTGACACCGTGTTCTAGCTAAGAAGATTGTTCTTTTAACCAACACGGCGGTTAGTTTTCAAACAAATCGTGTTTCAGCTAAGTTAGTAGTTGCAAAAAGGAAAAGGAAGAGTATGACGGCCATCTTTAGAACATTTTTCTTAGTTTCTATCGCAGCAGCACTTTTAGCTTCGAATTTTGCTGTTGCAAGAAGTCTCTGGTCAAGGGAAGTTTTCCCACCGAGTAAAGGCGGAGAATTTCTCCCTTCATCTTCATTTCACAGACCGTGGTATGGCGGAAAACGCCGTGAATTTGATTCAGAAGAAAAGGTATTGTGCCACTTTAAAAAGTATAAGAGAATAATTTCTTCAAAGTCCAATAGTTCTGTAGTTTTTCCCATTCCTAGAAAATAAATGTGCTCCTTGTTACGAAACAAGCAATGTGGAACATGCCTAGAAATTGAATCGGAAAAAATTGAGGGTGCTTGCTTTGAAAAAATATGCCTCTTAATAAAACGTAACAAGTTATTTTTGGTTAAAATGCAAAAGCTCTAATAATTTAAAATCTTCTTTGGCAATGATACAGCTTAACACCTAAGTTGTGTCTTTTGTCCTGAGAGTTTTAGGATCTCGCATCGTAAGTAGAATACCGGTACCACTGATGTATCATTCTTTCTTGCACGTTGAAAGTTTGACACTGAATTTGGAAGGACAAGGACAAAATTTGATTAAAAAAATTTTTCAGAAAATATATAACATAATTTTTTGCGAATATAATTGTTCAAATTGTGACTTTGATAATGAGTTAACTGGCTCATCAAGATTGTCAAAAATTAAGATTTACATCAGAGTAAAGTTTACTGAATCGCAATCTCTAGCAAAAATCAAGTGTCAGTAAAAAATAATTGTTTCTCAATTGAAAACTAAACCAAACATTTTTCAACGGTCTTTTTTCGAGTCTTGTCTAATATTTGATAGTTAGAAAACCGTAAACTTTGATAATGAGTTAACTGGCTCATCAAGATTGTCAAAAATTAAGATTTACATCAGAGTAAAGTTTACTGAATCGCAATCTCTAGCAAAAATCAAGTGTCAGTAAAAAATAATTGTTTCTAAACCAAACATTTTTCAACGGTCTTTTTTCGAGTCTTGTCTAATATTTGATAGTTCGAAAACCGTAGACTTTTCCCTTATGTTTGAAACCTTGGTAAAAAACATGTTATGGATGAAACATTTCCCCTTTTAATGTTCTTTATAATGAGAAGTTTACAAAATTTTGCGTTTACAAAAGTCATTTGGGGGCTTTGTCAATGTCACCGGCAATTTTATTTTTGATAGAGAAGTCAAAATATCACTGAATCAGTCAAAGTCATGCGTCCCATTTATCATTGTTCTTAGTAGAACAATTAAAACTACTTGACGTGTTTTTGCCTTAATTTTAATCATTTGTCATATCTTACTCATCCCTTTCCGGATTCCGCCCGCCCTTAATAACCTGTAGATAAGTCTGGGCGGAAGAAAGGTGATTCAATTCCGGCAAAAGAAGGAAAAATAATATTTAGCGAAGTAGTTGTCGATCATGTGAACACGACAAAAATACAGCCACTATTAGACGAAATACTCAGGAGTTTAGATAGTTTTTTTTTCTTTCGCTTTCTGTTCATCGAAAAATACATTCAAAGTATTGATTTTCAACATTTGCCAGTTGTGTGCCATCACCGTTTCATTCAGAAATGGAATCTAAAACTTTTAATTCAAATAAAGAATTGCTATCAAGAGACCGCAGGTTGAACTACTGGGATAATAACAAGAGAGGACATTCTAGACCTAAAAAAATGTCTTGAAATCTTAAAATATTTCAAAGACTTAAAAAAAGAGATAATCAAAAAGCAAAACTGCTATCTAGATGATAACCTTAAAGCATAAATTAAGCTGAACTTGAGAGGAGCTCATGTACGATCATTGATGTTATTTTCAAGGGAGCTTTCAGTCTTAATCAAATTATCTTAAAAGTCATCCCGCTGTCTGGGCGATCCTTTTGAACCTAATTCTTTTGTTTTCATGAGGCAGTTCCAGGGGAAAAAAAGATCTATACCTCTTAATATCGCCATTGTTATACTACATTTATCGACCTAAACATTATAATTATATGGGCATAGCGTTTTCACCGGGGCTTTGTCTTTTGCAAATATGTTTAAGACAATTGGATTTTCTTATACGTTTCCAGATAACAGATATTGAGCACGCGGTGTTTGGTAAACGGAAGTTCACAAATCGGTTTGGTTCCCAAAAACCAAAGAAATCCCGTCTTTCATATTATTAAATTTTCTCAAGGATTTCCAAGCGAAATACCAAGTAAAAGTGTCCTTTTAAAGGTAATAGTCATCCTGCAGCAGTCTGGGCGGTCCCATTTGAACCTTAGTTTTTTGTTTCCATGAGGCAGTAGGTAGCTTCTTTATAGCGTTTTCATTGTCTTTTTTCTTCTTTTTTTTTTTTTTGTCGTTTGCAAATATGTTTTAGACAATTGGATTTTCTAGGATTGGAGGTTCTAGGTAGCTTTTGCCAAAGATGGTTTCTCTTTCCAAAGTAGCAACAAATCCTGAGTTGTACTTAGCCACGTGTCTTTTAAGGAAGAATCAGTCTATTGAAGAGAGAATATTGTTCAGCCGGTTACATGGAAAGCACTGTTTTGTCATGATCAAGGATCAAAGTAGCTTAATCACATCGACCGCAAACCACTTCCCCCTTTCAAAGAACTTTACATCTTACCTACGTGCGAACTTGGAAAAAGGTCGGAGTTATTGTATATGAAATTTTAATAATCATTTGTGTCTAAGAATCTAACTTATTCTTCTTACCTAAGGTTTCAAATTGATCTCTTTACATTCCTAGTGTAGAATATATTTTGAATGGCTTACCCATTGTCGTAATAGACTGAAGGAAGTTGTTAAAGAATCGAAACTTGCTTATAAAAGTTGTTCGGAGTTTTCTCT